AATGTAGGGTTAGGGTTAGGATGATGTTGCCACATGTCTAACTGTGGTTAAAAAGTGGTTGGAGATGATCAAATGGGCTAACCAGGTCTGACTTTGTAATGTTTTTGTTTAGGTAAAATTTGGACGAGACTTTGAAAGTTTCAATTTTCAGTCTGTTTTTCTTGGCTAAATAAAGACAAGAACTGACCAACTTTACAAAGCCATAAGAAAGATGTCCAGTGTTTTGAGGTCAGCATCAATTTAGCACCAAGAATTATTTTGGTAGTGCAAAAATCCATGCTGAGTTTATAAGGGTTGGGTTAACCACTGATGACTTAACACATCCATCTGATGCAGCCTTCTATGTTTTACATTTCTGAACATTTCCGTCAACAATCGGGGGAAAGATCTTTGCTCTTCCACTCAGCTTGTTTAGCAACATGCCTGGAAATGTTGAATAGTGCCAATATTTTGGGGTGGAATTCAAAGGTTGATTATAAGCTAAAGTTACAGATTACCCTCATCTTGTGTGTGTGTGTGTGTGTGTGTGTGTGTGTGTGTGTGTGTGTGTGTCTTTAACATCTTACTGTCTGAATTAATTTATAATTGTAAAAACATTTAATATTTGTGTTTTTACTGTCAAGCAAACTGTTCAGCCTTACATAGCAAATACAACTGACATAAATTCAGGTATTTAGTATGCAAATGACTCAAATTAGACATATTTGGGTATTATATTGACGGACAGATGGTGACAGTGTTTCCAACATGATTATTGATATGTGTAGAATATTATTCACCAGCTGGGATTAGTGATGTAAATACTCCACTTTGGCTGTTTTTTGGTTTGAGGCAAATTTGCGACAACAGTATTCTAGTAAAATCAGCCCCTGGTTCAATGTTATTTGCTTCGTTCAGAGAGTTTGAACTCTTGGCTACTGAGAAACGATTGTTTCGGGCTTGGAGGCTTGGACTCTGTTGATGGTTTAAATTTGACCCAATCGCTAACATTTGTCTGTGACCTATGTAACATGGCAGTTTGACGCCATAAAGCTTATTGGAATCTACCTGCACTGTAAGCAACCATCAATCTCTGCCAAGAGAGAAGTGCTGATCTGCACCAAATGACCGATAATGTTAATTCAATATTTGGAAGCGTGACCAACACAGACTGAACGGCTTTTTTTCACTTCCTATGCTGCTGTAGCTAAAACTACAGGCAGACTACAAATAGAAAAACAGCACAGAAAAAACAATGTCATCGTTCACAACTTCTCCTGATTGGCCCACTTGAATTTCTACTGGAGGAATCCACTTCCTCCAGTAGTTGGAGGAAGTGGAATAAATAATCATTCTTGTGATTATTTATCTCCATAATAAATCACCAAATACTTCACTGACAACTGATATTAATTTAAGTTCAAGGGCATGAGATCTTTTGTTTACTTTCATGAAATTTAAGTACAGTACTTCCGCAGTATTTTTGGGAGTTAGCGACCACAACTGCCTTCGAATAGCTGAAATCTACAAATACTTGAGACGATGTCTGAAGAAGGTTACATATGCCTGTTTTAATAATTAAAATACCAAATGTATGCATTTTTGCGCACAGAGTAAACCAACTTGGCTGTACAGCAGAAGCTAACATTCCCAGTCTTCCTTATCTCAGTTCTTAGCGTTTAGCCAATCAGCGCTGAGGAACATGAATGGTGCTTCAAGATTGGCTGCTTTGTGAAGAACTACCTGCTGGTCAGTTTTACAAATATTCTCTTTGAGACTTTGCTTACTGGAATGCTAACATGTGCCCACATTGCTTTCACAAATATCCCGAGCTTTCTGAAGAGGCAGGAACGATATTTGCATTGGCGGTGTGTTAGCATCTACCACGGTCATATGCTGTGACAGACTTCTCTTTTTTTCATCAAACATACTGAAACACATACAAATTGAGACCACGGCTTCCAGCCTGCGTGACTAGACAGAAAAACACAGATACCAGCAGCAAAGTGCAGAGGAATACGCAAACAGGGATGCACACACTCACCACGTAAAACACACACGCACGCATGCACGCACGCACGCACACACACACACACACACACACACACACACACACACACTTTCTGACGCGGCGACATGGATTAATGTGGTCGGCTCAACTATTTCATTTATTACTGTCTGAGGCCTTTTGTGATGAGGGCATTTTTCAGGTTGCTAACCATTATTCCCTCTAGGCCTGAGGCTCCTGAAAGGACTGCTTCAGTGTGCGTGTGTGTGTGTGCGTGCGTGTGCATGCGTGTGTGTGTGTGTCAGTGTAAAACCTACCCAGCCTTATAGTTATGGCCCAACCAAGTAGTCAGATTTTTTTTCTTGCTATTCTTCAGGGGATTCATGTAGCCATTTCTGACTGTACTTAATGCTCCTTCTCCATTTGTCAACACATGCCTAAGCTGCTCGAAGCCTGTTTGTTTTGCCATGAAAGGTTTTTTTTTGTGCCCCTATCATGCCTTGAAATATTGCTGAGTGTGCTGCATCCATCAACATAACAGCTAAGCGAGAGGTAGAGGGGACAGGGGAGGGCGGGGGAACAGGAAGAAGTCGAAGAACGCAACAATGTCAGCCGTCTCTCTCCTGATAGGCTTTTTTTCCTCCATTCCTTTGGGTATTAAAATATGTTTACATAATGCTTAGATCTACTACTGCACAAATTACATGCACATTGATCTATAAAGCCCAACCACATTGCCTTTGCATCTTCTTTGATTTATGGTTTGTGTTTGGATCTGTTAGCAGGAGCTTGAATCTAGAGTTTGGTTCAGGAATAAATTTGTTCTGTGGTTTCTTTTGATTTTCTTTCTTGGTTGAAGGGTTGAGGAGATTTAAGACACTGACAGAATGATATGTGAAGGTTCATCAAACCGAGAAATCTTCATTACACCAGTCAAATGTTTCATAGGAAGAATTAAAGATGCATAAACAATGACATTAGGAAAACCTATATTCCTCCAAGAATAGTAAAGAAAAGCTGCTGAAAAGACAACAAAACTGAAAGAGCTGAATGACCAAACAGAGCTGGTTGCATTCTACATACAAGGTCCAGTTTTTAAGCATTTCTGGTCCAAATGCTGAAAAGACAGCTTTTTGACAGCAGTGTCAAGCAAATATTTAAAATATTGAAAAAAAATTGTGTGTTGTAATTTATTTATGTTTTTTTTTTCCTTTTTTTCGGCGGCAGGCAGTGTACGATAAACAGAATTGCAACCCAACACTCAATCTTTGGGCTTTTCTTGCACTACGCAGTCATCAAAGTTGTTTCTCTGATGCCACTAACCTGACAGGAGGTATGATATTCATGCTCTAGCTTGTGATAAAACTGTTGCCTGGGCAAGCAGGGATATTAGCACCAAAAGTGTTACCAAGGTAATGAAATGCTTTTCACAGCTATGTATCTAGGAGGATGGTATGTTGCTTTGTCAAGGGAACTTGTGATTAGTGAATGGTTAATAGGAGGAGAATCTTTGGATTCACATTTTGGTTTTTTGTGAATGCTTTAATGAGAGTGTATTGTTTTCCACCGGCGTGTTTGGGATTTAGAAGTAATTGCTGCCAAAGTCACAGCAGAACGTGACAAATGTCACAACCAAACTGGATCAAGAACACGATTTCAGATGAGCACAAAGACGAAAAGACGGAAGAAAGGAAATAATAAACTGCCAAGTGAATTCAGTTGCACCAGCCACATCAAGCTGACCTGAAGAATCACAAACATTTCCTGGATAGAACCTAGACATGTTAAAAGATCTTGGACAGTATTACATCATGCCCAATTTAAAGAAATTTGTCAGAGGAGAAATAAATTCTGATGTTTCAGTCTGGGAAAGGTTATGAAACCATTTCTAAGACTTTGGGGCTCTATTGAGCCACACTGAGAGCCATTATCCACAAACAGAGAACAGCGGCCTGTCTCAGCTTGTGACTGTAAGCTCAAGTGCGTCGGGATATACAACAGGACAATGACACACAAGTCACACCACTGTGAATGCTTTAAAATGAAAAAATAAGGGTTTTGAATGGCTTAGTCAAAGTCTAGACTTAAATCTAATCAACATACTGATGCATAACCTCAAACAGGCCATTCATGTTCTTCATCGAAACACTCTTGTCATGAAATGGGGGTGTTGGTGGTGAGGTGGAGAGAACGCAGAGACCCAGGTATGAAGATGATGATTTTTAATGAAGATGACGCTTGGAGTAGTCCATACAGGCAGCACGGCAGAGACTAGCACACAGCTAAGTACCGGTAGCAACTGATTAACGGAACTAACATGCAAGCAAACACAATCCGGGACTTAGCAGTACGACCGGAGAGCAATACAGCTTGACGCAATCCAGGACTTAGCAGTACGACCGGAGAGCGATACAAGTATGACAAACAAAGACAAGGACCCGACGAAGAACACAGAGACAGGTGAGTTTAAATACACATGGAGGGTAATCAGGTAAGAAGACACACCTGGGGGACAATCAACGGGGAGGACAGGACAGAGACTCACAGGAAACAGGGCTGAACACAGAAAACTCAAAAATAAACACACAAAAACACGGATCCTGACAACTCTAATGTGACACACCACTTGTAGGCTCAGGGGCAGATATAATCACATAGGTCCAGGTTGCTTTGGATATTTCTTTCCTTTAAAGCTGCAGTATATAATGTTACAAAATATGCTTTTTACATATTTGTTAAAACTTTCACCATGCCATGGCGGTACGCTATGACACAAATTATCTGTGAAAAGATCGATTTCTAGGCTGCTGTAGTGGCACAGAGGAAAAGCACAACCCATGTAAGGAGGCCTTAGTCCTCGATACAGACATCACAGGTTTGATTCCCGGCCACATGTCTTCCTTCCTCTCTCAAAATCCACTTTCATGTCTAACCGCTCTCAAATTAAGGCCATTAGAATCAATAAAACCTTAGAAAAAAAAAGATCAAGAAATACACTTCTTTTTTTCAAAAGCAACCAATCAGAGCCAGGAGGAGGGGCTTATCGCTGTCCATCAACCTTGTGAACGTGCTGCTAAATGTGCTAATGGTGAAGAAATGACGTCACATTGAAGGAAAACTTTTTATTTGCTGGCTATGCTAACTAGCATTAGCACTGGTGGCAGGCTACGTTGTGGTGAACCAGCTGTAGCGAGAGCGATTGACAGCGCTAAGACCCTTCTCCTGGAATAATTGAGAGAAAGCTCAATTTCTTCACAGATTATTTGTCTTATACTGTCATGACATAAAGATAATTTAATAAATACACATAAAACTGTTTTTCTAAAATAAAAGTTGCATACGGCAGCATTAACGAGACAAGATAGCCAAAGCAGTTGAAAAACTGAAGGCCTTTAGGAATTACTTCTGTTTAAACCTGAAGACTTAATTGAAATATATTGCAATTCAAGTTTATTAGAATCTCAAAGAAATATGAAGTGGGTGGAACTTGTCTGTGTGGTGCTGCAGTTGTTCGCTCTGCTGACTGCAGCAGGACGTGTCTGAATGCTGCTGCTCTTCCTAGGTGGGCTGTGCCTGTTCTCCCTGTGCATGCTCGGCTTATCTCCAGGTATTCCAGCTTCCTCCCACAGCACAGAACCACATTAAACTAGTTTAATTGGTTACTCTGAATTGCCATTAGTTATGAATGGGTGTGTGCATGGTTGTGTGTCATGTGTTTCTCTGTGTCGCCCTGTCCAGGTTGAACTGCCTCTCACCCGGTGAGTGATGGAGTCGCACCTCCACAGAAGCTACTCTAGGACTAGAACTGACACTGAGAAACAATGGTTTTTGAAAAGTGTCATTTCTTTTAAGTCCTATTGGACATATGCAGCACTTTTGTAACATGGTTACTTGATTGTGCTATAAAATGTGACTATGTGGCTGGAAATCACAAAACACCGGCCCTTTAAAGAGGATCTGCCAACATGCTAAGTATCAAAGCCTTGCTTATGTTTTAACACATACGTGTCAAAGTAAAGGCCTGGGGGCCAAATCTGGGCCACCATAGTTTTTTGCGTGGCCCTCAAGACTCCAGGTGCCGAATTATATCAATCAGTCCTCACAGTTTCCTGTGATTATGGAAATTCACATAGAATCAACAGATTCCCACTTTTTTTCCTCACTAATGCAAAACTGCAAATTTTTAGCAAACATGGTCAGAAACATTAGGTTTAACTGAGAACTAACTCCCTCCTGTAGGTGGCAGTACTTTGTACTTTTACAACACCGCTGCCTCAGCCTTATTTGATGTCAAGTGATTAGTCTGTGATCGATGTGACGATTAAAGTCATATTTAACGTCACATGTAAACGTAAATATTACAAAGTCCCTTGAAAATATTTCTAAATTAGCTCCACAAAATTTGTGATTTTATTGAAAAAAAAAAAAAAAAAAAAAAACCCACAAAATCAATTGCAAAATCCTAGAGGGGCTGAACAATGTATAAATATGTTTAGTTTTAAGAACTACTTGCAAAGACAGTTATTTATTCATATTTTAACACTTTGTTAATGGGTTTTATCAACACATTCTGACAGGACCGGCTCTTTAAGAACATTCATGATCTTGATTTGGCCCAAACGAAAATTAGCTTGACACCCCTGTTTTAACATGTCAGCATCTTTTGCTGCTCTAGGTGTGTTTTCATACCATCGTCTGCTAACTGCATGCGCTTCAGCTGATGACATAAGCAAGCCAACATGTTCAGCAACGCATTGCTGCATGTAAACATTGTATACAGTAGCAATTACCCCCAGCCCTTATCTCCACCATCACCTTCCCATCGCTCTCTGTCTCCTCTGTCTCTACTTGCCTCTATCTGTTTATCCGTCTCACTTCTTCAGGCCCTCAAGCCCGTTTTCTTCCCCTTTTCTGCCCTTTTATTATTATAATCTTTCTCTCTTTGTCCTTAAACACCTCTCTCGGCGTTATTTATTTCTTCCTGCAGCCCCATCTGTCTGATGATCTGCCTCTCCCGTGAAGCCATTCATCCGCCGTCACTCTGCCGGGTGATGTGCTGTGATGGAGGAAGTAAATAAACAGAGCCAAAGCCAGGAATCCTAAAAGATCTGGTCTTTGCATGAATGAAGGTGATTCATCATCAACCCCGTCTCTACCTCCCCGGTTTCTTCCACAGGAGAAGATTTATCTGGAATAGTAATAGTGAGTCAGGTGATGGAGGAGGGCGGAGGGGGCTGGGGGCGGAGGTTAGCCAGAGAGAGGACATTATTAAATGTCACCGATGGGTTTGATGCCACCTGGGGCCAAGATGCTATCTTTGTTTTGGGCTTGGACTGCTTGCTGCTGGTCAGATGGATGCATTAGCTTTATTGGCAGGTGTTTTCATCTCCAGTTCACCCCCGTGGCGTACGTACAAGGAGAGACCGGAAGAGGAATTAGCACTAGCTAGCATAGCGTGCTCCAGAAACTTGCTTCTGTTGTTTTTTTTTTGTTTTTTTGTTGTTGTTGTTGTTTTTTTGGGGGGGGGGTAGAAAGTAAGAGAGAGAGATAAATGCGTTGAATAATTGCAAACAATGGGAGGTGAAAAATAGAAGAATTACTTGGCACCCCAACACCAAACCCAGGCTTCCTTCAGCCCCCCACCCCCACATAACCAATTAGCTCCGAGGCCATAATGGATGTTGTTTGCCGTGTTTCCCTGTCAGCGGATTGAATTAGCGCCTCTGTGTGTGCGAACGCATGTGTGTGCGTATGTGTGTGTGTGTGTGTGTGTGAGTGATCATCTTATCGCCTCTTAGTACAGTAATGAAACACAGTTATAAATGGCTGCAATCCTGTTAACAAAACAGCACCTGAGTGCAGGCTGGCGAGATAAATCAGAACCGGGCCGCCGCCACAGCGACCCGCCGGCTGTTGCTAAGGCGCGGAATCACCGGGGCACAATTGAATCATTTTTGCTCGGCCTCTGATAAAGCGGCTGTCTTTAACGAGCGGATCGCTGCTATGAAAAAAGAAGAAGAAGAGCATTTGTTATCGCCGTGCTTTTCTTGTCGTGGTCCGGTTGAATTTCTGCGTTTGTAATCAAGCCGATATGACGAGGAGCATTTGATGCCTCTGAGTCGGTGCTGGGCTTTTCTTCATCTTGTCATGGAGATACGGGCTGTCATGCATACGTTCTGTCTCTCTCTCTTGCTCTCTCTCATGCACACACACTCACACACTCCTCTGTCTTGGTGCTGGGGGGCTATTAAGACAGTGTCTAATGTCGCACCATACCCCACTGCTCACACACTTAATTGTGTTAATGTTTGAGTTCACATAATCTTTCAGGACTGTCATTCTCTCGGATCATTCAGCCTGTTTTCAATTACTGAGCGCCTCTGCACTGCAGGCCCACAATGCGTGCTACCAAATCCATCGCTGAAATATTCATAACCGTCGCATTTATTCACGTTTTGTCAAATTGCAACAACAAACTTCAACGTATTTATTGCGATTTAATGTTATAGACCAACACAGAGTAATGCATTTCTTCCTGCAGCTCCAGCAGAAAGATATGGATAAGCCATCCATCCAATCCCTGCACACACACTTACCCATGCAGCCTCATAGGGGGCGCTGCTTTCTGCCTCCATCGATCATTTGGCGAGACCCTGGACAGGCTGCTATTCCAGGTTCTACACAGCGACACAAACACACACACACACACACATGCTCCTACGGGCAATTTAGGGAGACCTGTTGCTGTAAAACAACAATGCTAACAACTGTTTCCCCGTGTTAGCATGACACTTGGTTTATTTAAACCTTATACAATCTGTTTTTAGCCCTGTTTTACTCAGTAAAGACTTACATCGAGCATGCATGTAGCGACAGTGGAAAGGAAAATATCCCCTTTAACAGGAAGAAACCTCCAGCAGAACCAGAACCAGAACCTGGCTCAGTATTAGACCATTTGGTTACTTCGCAATGACTCACTACTTCCTGTCAGGCGATCCAACATGAATCCGCTGAAGTATGTGGAAGTGACATCGACAAAATGAAAATTTTGAACACTTTTATAAACATCATGCTTTCTATTGGTTTCTGTTCTCTAACTTTTACATGCAAATGTGAGCAGAACAGATAAAATGACTTTTTTCTGCTCAACCATGATTTAACATTAAGTAGCATGAGTTAGCTTCTCGCTGCCTTTTTGTCACTTGTTTCCTCAAGGCTTCTGTGTGTGTGCGTGTGTGCGTGTGTGTGTGTGCGTGTGTGCGTGTGTGTGTGCGTATGTGTGTGTGTGTGTGTGTGTGTGTGTGTGTGTGTGTGTGTGTGTGTTTAGATGTGGTCGCCTGTTTACTTAAGCAGCTGAAGTTTTCAACAACCAGTCAGTTGAAAAATTGAACAGCTCCTCCTCAAACTCATTTTGAAACATGTCGGCAATAGTTTTGGCTTCAGTCACTGATCGGCCCACATCATCAGTTATTGTGCATATGAAGGGAGAGAACTCTTTTAGCGTGTCCACACAACACACACACACACACACACACACACACACACACACACACACACGCACGCATACCCACACACACACACACACACACACACACACACACACACGCGCGCACACACACAGAGGCAGTGGAGCGTGAACCAACTATAAGGGAGTAAGAAAAATAAAAAGCGTGTTGCGCAGTCATTACTTGCAGAACAGACCCCACTGAACCAGATCAGAGTGTGTGTGTGTGTGTGTATGCGAGAAACGGAAAATGTGAACGCGTCTTTGGTTTTGTGTGCTCTTCGGTCAATCATCTTTCACTCTCTTGCTGCGGTGGTTCATTGCAAAAATGTCCTCCAGCGTGGTTTACTGGCAGTCACACACAGCTGCATGTGCGACTGTTTGCAGGGAGGATTATAGGTGGATATCACCTCTTTATTATCTTGTCCTGTCAAACTGCAGCGCATGAAAACTCCTATACGGCCCCGTGGAGCCTTTCTCTGCCTTGGAACAAGCCGGCATTGTAAGCATAGTGCTGCGTTCTGCAGTTGCTTATTGATGTGATAAAAAGTTGCGATTAGCAAACCAAACAAAGCAAACCGGTGATGAATTGG